TTCTTTATTGAGAAAAAAAGTAATTTGTCTAATTTAGCAGTTATTTAAAGGGACTTTTAAAATATGGATTTAGGAAAGAAATAGAAAAAAGGTTAAAAGGAACCAGTAAGTAGATGAGACATAGATGTAAAGAAAGTTACAGATGTGAAGCAATGAGAGTAATTTTGTATAGGAAAGAACCTTGTGTGGTCAATCTCTATCTTAGACTAAAATGACTAGACATTTAAGAAAGAGGAAGTGCCTGGCAAGTCCAAGCATGCCACAGGTGTCTGAGTAAGTCATGATTAGGCCTGTGAATGGGAACTTGTGATGGAAGTGTTGGCTGTGATTAAATTGGCTGTAATTAAATTAAATGATTTGTAATAGTTGTTTTTTGTTTGTTTGTTTGTTTGTTTTTTGAGATGGAGTCTTGCTCTCTCACTCGCTTGCCGAGGCTGGAGTGCGGTGGTTTGATCTTGCTTCACTGCAACTTCCATCTCCTGGGTTCAACTTCTGCCTCCCGGGTTCATGCCATTCTCCTGCCTCAGCCTCCTGAGTAACTGGGATTACAGGCATGCACCACCATGCCTGGCTAATCTTTGTATATTTGGTAGAGATGGGGTTTCACCATGTTGGTCAGGCTGTTCTTGAACTCCTGACCTCAGGTGATCCTGGCCTCCCAATGTGCTGGGATTTACAGGTATAAGCCACCATGCCTGGCCTATAACAGTTTTTCTAAAGAATGAATTTGGATATTAAAACATATGACACATAACTTAAAATTTTGGCCCCCTATGTTAAAATAACAGTGGTTTCAGCCAGGCCCAGTGGCTCACACGTGTAATCTCAGCACTTTGGGAGGCCGAGGTAGGTGGATCACAAGGTCAGGAGATCGAGACCATCCTGGCTAACATGGTGAAACCCTGTCTCTACTAAAAATACACAAAATTAGCCAGGCGTGGTGGTGGGCACCCATATTCCCAGCTACTTGGGAGGCTGAGGCAGGAGAATGGCAGGAGGAGGCAGAGCTTGCAGTGAGCCAAAATTGCACCACTGCACTCCAGCCTGGGTGACAGAGCAAGACTCCGTCTTTTCAAATAAGTTTTTGCTTTGTTTTGTTTTTGTTTTTAATGTGAATTATATACCTGTGTGGTCCAATTTTATATTTTACTTTTCAAGACTCCGTCTTAAACAAACAAACAAACAAAAAAACAGCAGTTTCTTAAGACATTAATTTACTCTTAGTAAAGTTCCAAGAGGCTTTGACATGTATTTCTAAAACCTGCTTCGTTAATAGCCATTCTCTAAATCACAAATTAGTTTATGTTTCTGTTATATTCCTTCTTAATATCAAATTTCTCTGATTTCAAGTTTATCTCAAAGGTCGACAAAAGCAGTTTTATACCAGTGTGAATTGATTCTGTGTTCTTGGTTTTTCTTAATGTGTCTGAATTGTTTCATGTAACCAGGACTTCCCACGGTATTACTAATGTATTCCCCTGCTCACTGGCTTAGGAAAACAGATTGCTTAGGGAGACTGAGCTTTAAAGTGCTAAGGTTTTTCCATGCATGTAACTTTCCATGTTGCTTTTGAAGTCTTTTGATCATCACTGTGGTTAAACGAGTAACTATCATTTGGCAGTGATCTCTGATTCTGTTGAAGGAAGCCATTTGAACTTTTTGACATTTTTGGCAGGCTTCCCTGGATCCAAATCCTAAATGAAGCCATCTGGCCTAAAATCAACTTTGAGATTCTTCCAGAAGGGCCTCCTGGAGCAAGCCTCAAAGGTTGTGTCTCTCATCTTTTGGAGACATTAAATGATCAGGCTTATTTGGTAAATAATATGGGAAGCATTGTCAAATAGAAATGGTGTTAACTTCCTTTAAGTAATGTTTGTGTAAGTGTGTCACTAAACTATGGGAAATGGTTTGAGATTCCTAAACTCTGATATGCCAAAATATGTGTCATGACTGTGATGCTTGTGTCGCATGGTTGTATGCCACAGAAATGCTTAAATTTCTGGCAGGGCGCGGTGGCTCACGTCTGTACTCCCAGCACTTTGGGAGGCGGAGGCAGGCGGATTAAGAGGTCAGGAGATGGAGACCATCCTGGCTAACATGGTGAAACCCCGTCTCTACTAAAAATACAAAAAATTAGCCAGGCGTGTTGGCAGGTGCCTGTAGTCCCAGCTACTTGGTAGACAGGAGTGTGACCGCTGAAGCACAGCATCACTGGGAGACTGTTAAGCCTCCAGATGGCTGTGGGCGGGCCTCACTGATGTCAGGCTTTCCACAAGAGGTGGTGGAGCAGAGTCTTCTCTAATCACCGCCCCCCTGGGGAAAGAGAGACTCCCTTTCCCGGTCTGCTAAGTAACAGGTGCCTTCCCCAGGCACTGATGCTACCCCTAGACCAAAGTCCGCTAGGTAATGGGTGCCTTCCCAGGCGCTGGTGTTACTGCTACACCAGGGAGCCCTCTAGTGGCCCTGTCCAGGTATAACAGAGGGCTCACACCCTTGTCTTTTGGTCACTTCTCACCGTGCCCGTTCAGCTCCTATCTCTGTATGGCCTGGTTTTCCCTACGTTATAATTGTAGAACAAAGATTATTATCATATTGGAATAAAGATTAATGCTAAAAACTAATGATTAATGATATTCATATACAATCATATCTATAATCTATTTCTAGTATAACTATTCTTATTCTATATATTTTCATTATTATACTGGAACAGCTTGTGCCCTAAGTCTCTTGCCTTGGCACCTAGGTGGCTTGCCGCCCACACCTGTAATCTCAGCACTTGGGGAGACCGAGGTGGACGGATCACTTGAGGCCAGGAGTTTGAGACCAGCCTGGCCAACATGGTGAAACCCTATCTCTCCTAAAAATACAAAAAAATTAGTAGGGTGTGGTGGTGGGCACGTGTAATCCCAGCTACTCAGGAGGCTGCGCAGGTGAGTCGCTTGAACCTGGGAGGTGGAGGTTTCAGTGACCCAAGATTGTGCCACTGCACTCCAGCCTGGGTGATGGAGCAAGACTCTGTGGTAATAAAATAAAATAAAAAGATTGAACAAAACAAAAATAATTACATGAAATTAAGTAATTGATACAAATACTTAAATGTGAGACTTAATATGACTTAAATATGAGACTGTCACCTCACTTTGTTTTCCAGATTCAAGGAAATTTTCTGTCATAAAGTGCCTATAGTTTGTGAGGACTAAACTCTGATTTTTTTTCTTCTTTTGCCCAAATTCCCCCCTAAGGGGCCTGGGGAGTCACGCCCTACAAACCACAGAGTCTCATCAGAGAGGCTTTAATTTTAACCCTGTAGCGTGGTCTGCTTTCTGACCTGACTCTGGCATAACCTCACATAACAAAAAAGAGAAGAAATCAAAATACTTTAACCCCAAATGTATTTCCTTGCCATATCTTGCAACTGCCCTGCAAAGTTGTCTCCTGTGGGAAAAATCTACATTCTGTAGAGAATCCCCTTTTCCTTTTTTTTTTTACCTTCTTTCCAGATCCAGGAGATAATCAGCTAAGAGCCAGGCACCCTTTTATGTTAGATAAGAAACATTTTAGGCCAGTGTGGTGGCTCACGCCTGTAATGCCTGCTCTTTGGGAGGCCGAGGTGTGTGGATCACTTGAGGTCAGGAGTTCAAGACCAGACTGGCCAACGTGATGAAAGCCTGTCTCTCCAAAACTACAAAAATTAACCAGGCGTGGTGGTGTGCGCCTGTAATCCCAGCTGCTCGGGAGGCTGAGGCAGGAGAATCACTTGAATGCAGGTGGCAGAGGTTGCAGTGAGCCGAGATCGCTCCACTGTACTCCAGCCTGGGCAACAGAGCAAGACCCCATCTCAAAAAAAAAAAAAAGAAAGAAAGAAAAAGAAAGATTTTACCACCTGCTATCTGAGAGCTTCCTCTGCACAATAAAACTTGGTCTCCACAATCCTTTATCTTAACCTGAACATTTCCTTTCTATTGATCACAGGTCTTCAGATAAGCTCAACCAATTGTCAAGCAGAAAAATTTTAAATTTACCTATAGCCTGAAAGCCCCTGCTTTGAGTTCTCCCATCTTTCTGGACCAAACCAACATATATCTTGCACATATTGATTGATGCCTCTCGTCTCCCTAAAATGTATAAATCCAAGCTGTGACCTGACAATCTTGGGTACACGTTCTCAGGATCTCCTAAGGGCTGTGTCACAGGCCATGGTCATTCATATTTGGATCAGAATAAATCTCTTCAAATATTGTACAGAGTTTGGCTCTTTGGGTCGACATTTGCAATAATTTGACTAAGTGTCCTCTGTGAACAAAGGCAGAAGTATTCACTTTTTCTCCCTACTTGATTCCTGCAAAATTCAGAAACTATTCATGAATATTCTTATTTATATATACAAAAACAAACAAACAAAAACAAACACACAGAAACCCTGCTCTCTGGGCCGGGTGCAGTGGCTCACGCCTGTAATCCCAGCACTTTCAGAGGCCAAGGCGGGTGGATCACCTGAGGTCAGGAGTTCAAGACCAGCCTGACCAACATGGTGAAACCCCGTCTCTACTAAAAATACAACAAATTAGTCGGGCATGGTGGTGGGCGCCTGTAATCCCAGCTACAAGGGAGGCTGAGGCAGGAGAATTGCTTCAACCCGGGAGGCAGAGGTTGCAGTTAGCTGAGATCACGCCTCTGCACTGCAGCCTGGGATACAGGGTGAGATGCCACCTCAAAAAACGAAAAACAAATCCTGCTCCCTGTAAGCAGGACACAATTAGAAACATCGATTGTATTACCAAGGTTTGGACTGAATCACCGTATTTAAGAAATGTGGGCTGGGCATGGTGGTTCACACCTGTAATCCCAGCATTCTGGGAGGCCGAGGTAGACTGCTTGAGCCCAGGAGTTCAAGAGCAGCCTGGGTAACGTAGTTCTAAATCTGAGATTTCCTTTATGATCAAAGATGGGTGGGAACCCCATTCTACAAGATAAGTGTCAACCTCAGAGAGACAGACTTTCCAGAACAGGTGAATTTATTTGGGAAGAGCAGAGGATTACTATCTGGGCTATGAGTGCTAGGAAGGATCCCAGGCATACGCAGAGGGCCACAGCCAAGGGGAAGCTTTTAAAGGACAGAAGTCCATGTAAGCTGCTTTTAAACAAGGTTTGTTTAAAAGGTTTGTAGGTCACAAGCTGATCGCAGAGTTGGCGATGGTTTTCTGGTGGAGACGGCCATGGTAGGTAAGCGTCTGCAGCTCATTTGGAATACTACAGTCTTGAGGACGTGCTTTCGAGATGCCCCGTGTCTGGTCTACACGCAGGAGTGTCTTGTGATAAATCCCGTTACGGGCATGTGTGTGTGAGGGCTTCTTTGTGGCCCCCCTGACTCCATTGTATTAGAGTTTGACATAAGTGACTCCATTTTGGTTCCAGCACCTTTCACATAAGGAAACTGAGGCTCAGAGAAGTCAAGGGACTTGCCCACACGTCCCAGTAACACTCTGCAGTGGAAGGATGCAAACCCCGGCTTTCTCTGTGGATGGAGCTGCTGTGGGTGAGTGCAGGGTGCTGTGTGAACCAGAGGGGTGGTGCACAGACCATTGTGGGATGTGAGAGGATCCCTGGGGGAGGCAGTGCTGGTACAATTGGGACGGGGCAGAGGCGGAAGTGCATGTGTGCCTAGAGGAGAGAGCAAAGGCCTGGAGAGATCCACGCTCTCAACCATTCAGTGCTGCTGCCCCTAAGAAGGCAGGGCACCGTATTTTCCAGGGTCACGCTGCCCCTGGGACTGGGCCTGGCCAACCTTGACCGAGGGAGCAAAGGGCTAGAATTGGGGAGGGTGGGATGAGTGAGGTTACTTAGCTTGTTCTATAGTCTCTTGGCCTCTCTCGAACAGCATCCCTCAGATAGAAGCAAGACCTTGCTTTGCAACCCTGGCAGCCAGGATGCAGTCACGTGACAGCTCCAGCAACCTGAGGCTGGGGGAGCCTGCGGTCTGGAGGAACAATGTGAGTTGGGAGCACAAGCCCGTCATGGCTAGACTCAGGTTTCTCTGCGTGACCCGTTGGAGGCGGGTGGGACGCTCACAGGAGGGTGCAGCTGTTGGAGCCCATGCCCCAGCGCAACAGCTGCTGGTTCCAGTCGGTGTAGGGCGGGTAGCGGATCTCCTTTAACTTCTCCAGGCCGGAGGGGGCGAGCAGGCAGGTGCGGTGGTGGGAGAAGGTGTCGAAGGTGAACTTGCCGTGGTACCGGCCCATCCCGCTGTGGCCTAGGTGGGCACAGAGAGCAAGGAACTGAGGCCAGGCTGCCCATGCAGCCCTAGCAGCAGGCCACTGCCCTGGCCAGGGGCACACAGCTGGCAGGGAGCTCAGAGAGAGCCAGGCCACTCACAGAGCCATTGTACAGATAGGGAAACTGAGGCCTTGAGAGGCCCAGGGCTGATCAAGGTTGAACAGTGAGCGAAGGGACTTCCTCGGTCTGGGGTACCAAAGCCAAGCTTTCCTGGGGGCGGGAATGGGCAGGTACCTACCAACTCCCCCCAGCGGCACAGACAGCAGAGACAGATAGAGGAAGCCGTCGTTGCCTGCAAAGCTGCCACTGCTGGTCCGCTCCAGCATCTGGTTCACAACCTGCCGGGGAGTGGGAAGGTGGGTGGTGGGCTCCAGTCATGGGAAGAGGGCTTGAGCCCCGCACATTCCACAGTGGAGGTGAGCCTCATCCTCACATGCCCCTCCACCTGCCCCTCCACCCTCTAACAGGCAATAATCTCCCCTCTAAGCATCTTCTGGGGACAGCACCTGTCAGTGATGGTTGGGGTGCCGTGGGGTGAATACCAACATGGCGCAAAGACCAGGAAGCCCTGCAGGACCGCGGGGCTGGCAGCCTTGAGTCTAACGGTGAGGTTAGGATACTGCAGTGTGGGCTGCAGGCCCCACCACGACCCGCTGGGCTCTATCAGGCCCCCGCTCTGCTCTGTCCCTGACCTCCATTCGGGGCCTCTGCTTGCCCATGCAGAACCTTTGCACAGTCCAGGTGCAGGCTGCTCCGGCCAGGACAGAGGACGGGCCCGCTACATGCCTGGTGGGTTTGGGCCGTGTCCTCTCTGCCAGGTATCCTTGCGCCAGATGCGGTGGTACCAGCTGGCCTAGATATAGTCACCCTTGAGGCATCTGCTGCTCCAAAGCCCTCCTAGGAAGGGCTGTGAAAGGAAAGGGGCCAGTCTGTGCCCCTTTCAGCCCCTCATTGCCCCCAACCCGGCTGCACCCCCACCTGGCTGCTGTTGGAGAAGGCGTACAGGGCCAGGGGCTTCTCCCGCCTGTTGATGAACTCGATGGCCTCGTCCACACTCCGCACGTTCACGATGGGCAGGATGGGCCCGAAGATCTCCTCCTGCATCACCGGCTCCGTCTCCTGCACGTCCACCAGCACTGTGGGGGCTGCCGGGCACCAGAGATAGCTCAGCCCCGGGGCCACAGTCAGGACAGCACCCAGGGGTGGGGGTAGAGATGGGGACAGGGCCACGGGCCAGGGCTCCAGGCCAGGATCCTAAGGTCTGACTTCCCACGGCTTCAGGCTTCGGAGTGTTTAGGGAAGAAAGTCTCCCCATAGACTCCCAGGAGGGACCCTAGGTCTTCCCCAGCCTGCTCAGGGCCTCTGGGGCGCAGAGAATCCCCTGAACTTGGTCTCACAGTCAGGGGTGATGAGATTCTTAGAACCTTGGGGTTCATGAGGCGACAGCACCCCAGAATGTTGGAGCCACAGTGTCCCGTGAGCTGCTGAGCCGTACGGCCCAGGACTGGGGGGCTCAGGACGGGGCCATTAGAGTTTAGAACCTGGGGATCGTGGGCTCGGAGAATCTGAGGTTGTGGCCTTTCAGGACAGCCGGTGGTGGGATGGGAGTTCATCTTAGCACGCTGGGCCCTGGAGCCCTGGGATCCGAACTCAGCGAATCCAGGGCTGAGGGACCAGAGTTTGGCCTTGTGGGGCCACAGGCTCGGAAGTACAGAGACGGAGTCACGGCACTGGAGCCGTGGCTCAAGGCCGGGCTCTGACAGTGGGGCCGGCTTTCAGGTGCGGGTCCAGACTCGTGGCCCAGCCGTGGGCCCTCCCGTGAGGAGGGGTCTTGGCTCAGGTGGGCTGTGGTAGGGGCAGCAGGACTCACCGATGTAGCGATCGCTCTCGTCACTCTGGCCCCCAATGGCCACGTGGCCGCAGCCCAGCAGTGCCTGCAGCCGCTGGAACTGTTTCTGGTTGATGATGCGGCCCAGGTTTGGGGAGCTCTGGGGGTCGTCGCCATAGAAACGGGTGATGGTGCTCTGCAGGGCGGGCAGCAGCCTCTCCTGCATCTCGGGGCTGCACAGGACGTAGTCGGGGGCCACGCAGGTCTGGCCGGCGTTGAAGTAGCGGAACCAGGCCACGCGGTTGGCCACGGTCTGGGGGTCGCAGTTGTCGTCCACGTAGCAGGGGTTCTTGCCCCCCAGCTCCAGGGTGACAGGTGTCAGGTGCTTGGCGGCAGCAGTCATGACTATCTTGCCCACACGAGGGCTCCCTGGGTGTGGAAGGAAACCAGAGCGGCCGTTCAGTGACCTGGGCCAGGCGGGATGGCCCAGCCCCGGGCCCCGCTCCTCCCTGGAGAGGTGTTGGAGTCAGCGGGCTGCCTAGGCACGCGGTGAGGAGACCCCATCCTCAACTGGCCTTGACCACACGCTCCAGGCACCTGAGTCTTGCCTGCTTTCTTCATAGAAAGTCCTGGCCCGCCTCACCGCTCTCCTGGCTGCTGTGGCTCACACACTGGGACCTGCCTCCAGCCCGGCCACCCCAGGATCCAATTGCTCCAATGTGCCCAGGGCCTGGCCTGTGCAAGCAGACGGCCTCTGTGCCAGCTCCAGCTCCCATGTGTCGCCACTACTGGCCCCAGCCTCCTCCCTCCACAGCCCTCCCACCCTCTGCCCTGCTGATCCCCTCCGCCTACTCTGGGAACCTGGCCTGGCCCCTCACCCGTGAAGAAGATGTAGTCAAACTTGTGCTCCAGCAGCTGCCCTGTCTCCTGCGACCCGCCCAGCACCACAGCAAAGCAGCTCTGCAAGGCAGGATGGGTGGCTCAGGGTAGCTCGGGGGCGGGCTTAGGGGCCAGCTGGGCCTCCTCAGCCTGCAGGGGTGAGGTATAGGGATGCCAGGCACTGCCGGGGCAGGACCACCCTCACCTGGTCCAGGTACTGGGGCAGCACCTCAGCCAGGACCTTCTCTGTGCCCTGGCTGATTTCTGACGGCTTCAGCACCACGCAATTCCCTGCAGGGGCAGATGGGGACGTCACTGGGGGAGCCCAGGGTCCCCATGCCCAACCAGGGGCTGGGTTCAGAGGGCATGTGAGGCTGAGGGTGCCTCATAGGCAGGATTCCAGGGGCCTTTTTGGGAGGGGCTACTGGGCGGGAAGAGCATGGGGTTCGGAACTCCCTCCTCACCTGCAGCGAGGGCGCCCACCAGGGGCACCAGGGTCAGGTTCACGGGATAGTTCCAGGGTGCGATGATGAGGACCAGGCCAAAGGGTTCCTTCCGGATGAAGGCCGAGTCCAACTTCGTGAACTGAGGCACAGGGCAGACGGTGAGGCCCTGCCAAGGGCTACCCCAAAGCCTACCCACTGCGCACTTGGGGCCTCAGCTCCCTGTGCGATGGAATCCCAGGAAAGACGAGAAAATCAGTGACTCGCCCGGGGCCTCGGTGGCAGAAGGGGGCCTGGACCAGAGCTGCCTGGTGCCCTGCCCTTCCCTCCCGCCACCTGCCAGCAGGACTCACCAGGTTCGTGGAGCCCGGTTCGTCCTTCATCCAGGCCTGCAGGTTCTTGAGGGCATAGTCAACCTCATTCTGGCTGGTGATGATCTCAGATACGTCTGCCTCGAAGGCTAACTGTGGTGGAGGTGAGAGAGGTCAGGCCCAGACCCGGGCCAGGAGGGGTCTAGAATTTGAGGAGGGCACACGCAGGCACCACCAGCACCGGACACATAAAGACAGCTCCTATGGGAGGCACTGCGGTCCCCTGGGAACTGCGCATGGCTGCGATTCTGATCTGTGACTTCCTGGGCAAGCGATGTTAACCCCCGAGTGCCTCAGTTTCCTCATTTGCAACATGGGGACAGCCATCAAGCCTGCATCACAGGGTGGCTGTGAGTGTTCAGGAGTGAAGGTCAGGTGCCTGCCACACTCCACATGCCAGGGAAGGGGTCTGTTAAACAAACAGGGATAAAACTAGGGACACAGCCAGTCACTAGGGGGCATGGACCCTTCTGAAAGAGGACAGGGATGCCGCTCTAGCCCCTGCCTGGGCGCACCCTCCACGGCCCACCTTATGCAGGTCCTGGGCCAGTGCGTCTTGCAGAAGCTGCTTGTTTTCTTGAAGAAAGCGGCCCAGGCCTTGGAGCTGCGCAGCCCGGAACTCGGCCGGCCGCGTGCGCCCCGACTTGAAGGCCTCCCGCAGCCGCCGCAGCGTGTCCTGGAAGGGGTCCATCCTGTCAGACAGGGCAGAGTGAACTGGATGGCTGGGCTGCCCTCCTTCACAGGCACCCTCCAGCCACCCCAGAGTCTGCACACCCTTGCCCCACCTGCACCCATGGGGGCTCACAGACACCCCACCTCGTACACACACAGACCCACTCGAATGACCCCACGGGGCTGGGCCTGCCTGCGCCACCACCCCCCAACTCACCTGCCTCCCAGGCGTGTCCATGAGGGAGGGCCCTGGGCTTGACCTCCCCCACTCCTGGGAGAAGATCCCCCTCCTGGGCGCTCTGGAAGCCCAGCACACCCCACACCTCGGGTGACCACCATCCCAGCTCTTCACTGCACTTCCCCTCCTTGCACAGACACACACCCACCCACGTTGGCACCTGGCCACCGCTCCGCCCAGACCACTCAGGCGGAACAGAGCTCTCCCCTGGGCCTCCCTCCCTTCTGGGTCTAAACGAGGGACTCGGAGGGTTCTTTGCTCCAGAGCTCACAGAGGTCGCAGATGGGGAAACTGAAGCCATAGACGTGCCCGAGCGCTGACGAGGGTTTGGCACCCGCTCTGGGCGGGGGTGGCACTCGGCGGGTCGTAGAAGGAAGTAGAAGCGGAGGAGAGAGCTCCGGGGTTGGTATCCGTGGGCACAGGTGGCAGGTGGAGGTAGGTTGGCAGAGCTGAGACTGCCCCAGGGCATGAACCCCTCTGGGCTTTAGCCTGAGGGCCCAAGGGAACCCTGGTGGGTTCTGGAGAGGAGGAAGGATCAGGACCGCGGGGGTGGGGGAAGGGGTCCAGGGGGACACTCAGGAGGATTGCCAGGTCCTAGCAAGGGGATTCTGAGCATTCCAGCCCAGGGGCTGAAGAATGGCGTGCAAATCCTGTGTCTTTGTGTATCCGTGGGTCTGTCTGTGTCTTTGTGTCTCTGTGTCTTTGTGTGGGTCTCTCTGTGTATGGCTGTCTTTGTGCCCTTTTGTGGGTATGGGTGTCCGCGTGTGTGTATGTATGGGTGCTGTGTGTCTTTGTGTGTATGGGAGTCTGTGTGCATGGGTGTGTGTATGGGTATCTGTGTCTCTGTGTGTATGGGTGCTGTGTGTCTGTGTGTGTATGGGTGTCTGTATGTCTGTGTGTCTGTGTGTATGGGTGCTGTGTGTCTGTGTGTGTATGGGTGTCTGTATGTCTGTGTGTCTTGTGGTATGGTTCTGTGTTGCTGGTATGTATGCTTGCGTGTGGTGGGTGTCTGTCAGTTGTGTGTCTGGGTGTCTGCGTGTGTATGGGTGGTCTGTGTCTGTGTGCGTCTTGTGTGTATGTGTATGGGTGTCTGTGTGTCTGCGTGTGTATGGGTGTCTGTGGGTCTGTGTGCGTCTGTGTGTATGTGTATGGGTGTCTGTGTGTCTGTGTGTGTATGGGGGTCTGTGTGTGTATGGATGTCTGTGTTTGTGAGGCTGTGTGTCTGTATGTGTATGGGTGTCTGTGTCTTTGTGTTTGTGTTTGTGTGTGTCCGTGTGTGTGAGTCTGTGTGTGTACGGGTGTCTGTGTGTCTGTGTGTGTACGGGTATCTGTGTGTGTATGGGTATCTGTGTGTGTGTGTATTGGTGTTTGCGTGTCTGTGTGCATCTGTGTGTGTATGGATGTCTGTGAGTCTGTGTGTATGGGTGTCTGTGTGTGTATGGATGTCTGTGTGAGTCTGTGTGTCTGTGTGTGTATGGGTGTCTGTGTCTTTGTGTTTGTGTGTGTGTGTCCGTGTGTGTGTGTCTGTGTGTGTATGGGTGTCTGTGTGTGTCTGAGTGTGTATGTATTGGTGTTTGTGTGTGTGTGTATGGGTGTCTGTGAGTCTGTGTGTTTATAAGTGTCTGTGTCTGTGTGTATGGGTGTGTATGTGTGTATGGGTGTCTGAGTGTGTCTTTGTGTGTATGGGGATGGTGCATATGTGTGTGAGTTTCTGTGTGTCTAGTGTGTATGGGTGTCTGTGTGTCTTTGTGTGTATAGATGTCTGTGTCTGTGTGTGTACAGGTGTCTGTGTGTGTGTATGGGTGTCTGGATGTCTATGTCTTTGTGTGTAAGGGTGTCGTGTGTATGAGTGTCTGTGTGGGTATGGGGGTGTGTGTGTATGTGTGTGTGTGTGTATATGGGTGTCTGGTGTCTGTGTGTCTGTGTGTGTATGGGTGTCTGTGTGGGTATGGGTGTGTGTATGGGTGTGTGTGTGTATGGGTATGTGTCTGTGTGTCTGTGTTTCTGTGTGTGTATGGGTGTCCATGTGTCTGTGTTTCTGTGTGTGTATAGGTGTCTGTGTCTGTGTGTGTATGGGTGTGTGTGTGTGGGTATCTATGTGTCTGTGTGTCTGTGTTTCCGTGTGTGTATGGGTGGCTGGGTGTCTGTGAGTATCTGGGTGTGTATGGGTATGTCTCTCTGTGTGTATGGGTGTCTGTGTGTTTCTGTGTATCTGTGTGTATGGGTGTCTGCGTGTGTATGTATGCGTGTCTGTGTGTATGGGTGTCTATGTGCATGTATAGATGTCTCTGTGTGTGTTTCTTTGTGTGTATCGGTATTGTGTGTGTGTGTATGAGTGTCTGTGTTTCTGTGTGTGTATGAGTGTCTGTGTTTCTGTGTGTGTATGAGTGTCTGTGTTTCTGTGTGTGTATGGGTGTCTGTGTGTCTTTCTGTGTATGGGTGCCTGTGTTTCTGCGTGTATGGATGTCTGTGTCTGTGTGTCTTTTTGTGTGTATGAGTGTCTGTGCCTGTGTGTGTACAGATGTCTGTGTGCATGTGTGTCTGTGTGTCTGTGTGTGTATGCGTGTCTGTCTGTGTGTGTCTTTGTGTGTATGGGTTTCTGTGTGTCTGTGTGTGTCTGTGTAAGGGTGTCTGTGTGTCTGTGTGTTGTGTGTGTATGGGTGTCTGTGTGTCTGTGTGTGTCTGTGTGTGTATGGGTAACTGCGTGTGTCTGTGTGTCTCTGTGTGTCTGTGCGTGTATAGGTGTCTGTGTGTGTCTCTGTGTCTGTGTGTGTATGGGTGTCTGGGTGTCTGTGTTTGTGTGTGTGTATGGGTGTCTGTGTGTCTGTGTGTGTATGGGTATCTGTATGTCTGTGTGTGTATGGGTGTCTCTGTGTCTGTGTGTTGTGTGTGTATGGGTGTCTGTGTGTGTCTCTATGTCTGTGTGTGTATTGGTGTCTGGGTGTCTGTGTTTCTGTGTATGGGTGTCTGTGTGTCTGTGTGTTTATGGGTATCTGTATGTGTGTGTATGGGTGTCTGTGTGTGTATGGGTGTCTGTGTGTCTGTGTGTGTATGGGTATCTGTATGTGTGTGTATGGGTGTCTGTGTGTGTTGTGTGTATATGGGTGTCTGTGTGTCTGTGTGTGTCTGTGTGTGTATGGGTGTTTGTGTGCCTGTGTGTGTATGGTTATGTGTGTATGGGTGTGTGTGTGTCTTTGTGTGTATGGATGTTGTGTGTATGTTTATGAGTGCCTGTGTTTCTGTGTGTTTATGGGTGTCTGTATGTCTTTCTGTGTATGGGTGTCTGTGTCTCTGTGTATGGGTGTCTGTGTGTGTGTGTATGGACGTCTGTGCATCTGTGTGTGTCTTTGTGTGTATGAGTATCTGTGTTTGTGTGTGTACAGGTGCCTTTGTGTGTGTTTGGGTGTCTGTATGTCTGTGTCTTTGTGTGTCTGTGTGTATGGGTGTCTGTGTCTATGTGTGTCGTGTATGTATGGTTGTATGTCTGTGTGTGTCTGTGTATGGCTGTGTGTCTGTGTGTATCTGTGTGTGTATGGGTGTCTGTGTGTCTGTGTGTCTATGGGTGTGTGTCTGCGTGTGTTTGTGTGTCTGTGTCCATATGTGTCTGTGTGTGTATGGGTGAGTGTGTGTGTCTGTGTGTGTATGGGTGTCTGTGTTTCTGTGTGTGTCTGTGTGTATGGGTGTCTCTCTCCATGTGTGTCATGTGTGTGTCTGTGTGTCTGTGTGTCCTTGGGTGTATGAGTGTCTGTGTGTGCATGGGTGCTGTGTCCATGTGTGTCTGTGTGGGTGTCTGTGTGTGTATGGGTGTCTGTGTGCATGTGTGTCTGTGTGTGTATGGGTGTGTGTCTGTGTGTATCTGTGTGTGTATGGGTGTCTGTGTGTGTATTGATGTCTGTGTGTGTCTGTGTGTATGGGTGTCTGTGTGTATGGGTGTCTGTATGGGTGTCTCTCCATGTGTGTCGTGTGTGTCTGTGTGT